TAAAATCATATCAATGTGACAAAGAACTAGCGGGCTAGATTTTAATCCTAATTCAACTATGTACTGTTCAATTAACTGCTTCTTGTTAACTGCTTCTTAGAACCTTGGCTGCTATTTTAAATTAAGCAACATTATTTCAGATATGGATACGTTGTTCAATGGAAAAACAGCATTCCCAAAGAGCTCCACTCTGGTAACTGGTTTGAAATATAAGAAAAAATATCAAGGGCACATTGAAGAGGATCCGTTCTTGGAGCGTATGCTTAAAATTTAAAAACATCAATTAGATTGTACAAAAAAAATGAATAAACGTAATTGCTGATTGAAATGTACACTTTTCAATTTGATCGTTTTCTATTTGTTACAAATATTCGACGAGATAAAAAAAAATAAAAATATTTTTTTGTTCACGAAGTAGTCACGTCTTCTTTTTATTTCCATCTCTTCCGCCAGAACGATTAAAATATAATTTTCGACGATAAAATTTTATTAACCTTCGTTCATTAATCATGATTTCCCTGTGTCTTTGCGAATTGTTCTTCGTTGTACAATTTGATAATCGACCAAGTAGTAAAAGCGAAGGGATGGTTTAAATACCTCTCCTGTTCTTCAGTTTCATCAATCGACCCATCAAATTCACGCTAGCAACACGACTCCAAGACAACCAGAGCAACTAATTTACTCGCGTTTCGACGAGGATTCTTGCGATACGTAGTAATAATTTGATGAATGAAGAGATTATGCCAGGAATCGCAAGTGCTACGGGTCTCTTAGAAGCACGCATTCGACCAACATATCGGCCGAAACCGAAGGTATTTATCGCAAATAGTATCAGTAATTGATTGCGCGACAATATAATTTGAGAAACAGGTGACTTTATTTTTATCAAACATTTTGATTTTCATTCGTTGGTAAAAATGAATCCATCATGTTTGCTTATTAATTTTAGGAACGAGTATGTTACAATTATATTTGATTACATTTTCCACAGAAGGTAATCTAAAGTTGTAATCGAATTTACACTGATGATAATAAAAATAATACCGATACGATTACAATGAGACTGCTATACGATAATTTCATTTCAAATGTGCACGTGAACGAACGACAGGTTACGATCGAATTGTTTCATCGTGATTGAAGTGTGACTGTAATGCCATTCTATTATCATTGCTCTATAATTAGATAAACATGTTATAATTAGATCGTGATCACATCTGTGAGCAGATTGCGCCTCTAATTACATTGTAACGAAATTGTAACTGTTTCAATTACAATCGATTACCGTGGTATATTGTAAATTAATTTTCCCGATGGTTCATACCGTCGTTGTACAATTAAATAAATATCAAATACTTTGTGCGATTTCAAATATCATCGTGACTAGAACATTTGCAAATACAAATGAAATATTTCTAAATATTTCCATTTGTTGTAGCACGTGGAACTTGCAGGTCTCACTAAACCAGCGCCCTTCATTCTCAGACCTTTTTCCGGTCTTTTTAATCCTTATCCATATGGGTGTTCCATATTGTGCAATCATCCAGCCGACTGCGAAGCGAGAGAAGTCCTCAGACGTGCCAAAGATACCTGGGTAAAATTTTGAACAAGCTTATCC